TCACTTATTTACAAAATTTTATAACAAAAACTACTAAGAAAAAAATGTTTTTTTCAAAAATTTTAGTGGTTTTTGATTTGTTTAAGAAAAAAGAAAAAAACCCAGAGGCGATTAAATACCACCAAAATAAAGCTCTGTCACAAAAAAAATGATAAAAATGTCATATGGGTACAGTGTTGCATGAACGCGCAATTGCCATTCAAAGTGTGACAGCGCTGAAAGCTGGAAATTGACCTGGGCAGGAAGGGGGTATAAGTGCCCGGTAGGCAAGTGGTTAATAAGAAAATAAGTAGTAACTCACATCTTATAAATTATAAACAGGTTCATGTAGTGGAGAGGTAAAAAAAGTCTTATAGCCTATGTTTTTATGCCTTGTCTTAATTTGTCATCACATGCATTATATCCCTTTGCCAGTGTCAGTTTGTTTTTCTCCTGGTCACGAACGGCTTTTCTGCTGCTCTGTGACCATTCCCTGCCAAGTTTCCCCACCCCCGACCCAGTCTATCATCCTCCCTCGATCTACATAAGGCTCTCCCACCTGCCAGCTTCTCCCTGCCTTATGAAAGAGCGTGCCAGGCGACGCTCGTCTCGTGCATGCTCAGAAATGTGTCGTACATTGATGACGTAAGGCGCCGAATGTGACCAACCTCGGACATCTTGGAGACTCTACCAGGCTTCTCCACCTATGCTACACATACACAGCACCATCTGCTGGCAGACCTAGGCTATCTCCTTCTGGTACAATCACCTAACATCTGGCTATAATCATCCGGCTATAACACATTTTACTACTTATCTTATTAAATACTATTACAGTGCACACTTAGAGGCGCAGTGTTCCTTTGTTCCTTCTACCGCAGAGTTACGCTTAGCTCCATCGCAGCTTGCTCTCAGTGCCTACTGGACTACCCGTCCATTTGGAATATCATACTACATTGCTACACCATGCTCCTGTCATTCTCCTTGTACTAGCCTGGTATGTAGCCTATGTGGCCATTGTAGAGCATGCAGACCTGCAAGCAGGTTGTAGGGTGGGGGAAGGCACAGGCGGTAGGCACGGCACACACAGTGGTTGAAAATGTAACGGTAAATTGCCAAATTGCTCCAGATGCAGTAACAGAGTATATTTAGCAGCATGAAACAAGCAGCAATACTCAGAGCAGTATGCAGGACTTGTAGGGAGAAAGAGCGATGCACAGAGGCTGGCAGCACCTGTCACAAGAGTAGCTGAAAGGCAGATGCAGTAAGCACAAGTAGCAGAGAAGTGCTCCCAGAATCTCTGATGACAGTCTTTAGGCTGTCCCTCCACCTCTAGAACCTCTTCCTATGCTGGGCACACTCTCCCTGTCAAGCGAGTTCTTGTTTCTAAGCTAGCCACATGCAGAATGCATGCCAACTGCAGTGAGCCAGGGTTTTTTGTAAGCTCGACCCTCACCAAAGATGGCAGCAGAGGTCACCTGGAGTCCAATCTGATAGCAGCCCACCCAATGGCACTTACGGAGGCCTAAGAGGATTGGGTAATCCTCCTGTCCTCTATTCTCCCTACAAGGTGGATGCAACAGCACCACCTGTGTAGGGAGGTCAACCTGCACCTGCCTACATGCATGTATTGGTAAAAATTGGCTGTGGAGCGCTTTTCATTTCAAGAGCCATGGCATTGCCTCAGCACCTGACCCAGTTTCTGAAAACTCGCTTTTTGAGTAGGCCAGTAAGCACCAGGAGCTAACTCATTATTATGACTACTGGGTGCCTTTCATTATCCCATTTCAAATGGTTTAATCAAGCAAGGGGAGCTGATATCTGCTGGAATATGTGTGCTCTCCATACACTTTTCCTACCATTCAGTGTTGAGGCAGCACATCACAGCTGCTGCTCACAAACCCAGCCTGATTGCAAGAGTATCCCTGGATACAAGGCAAAACCTTGCATCCTTAACTATGTTGATTTGCACCTCATGGTGCAATGTGTTTCTGGACACATGGGGACCAATCATGGTGCCTCCAAGTCACACTCAACTGATTTTTCTGGCGCTGCTTGCAGTGTCTCTGAGCAGATTGATTGTGATGGCCTGGAATTTTGCCCTCTGCTATGGTCTATGCCATAAACTAAAGTTATCCTTATCTACGTCAGAGTTGGCCATCTCCTCTGCTCTAACCAGGAAGGATTTCACTAAGTCATGCAGGAGTCTGTAGGCCAAATAGCACAAGTGTTGGCCGATTCTGATCAGAGGCCATAAGTGTAGGATGTGTTTAATATTGCTCCTAACTGTATATGCATAGACAGGTGACAAGTCCATTTACACATTAAAAAGGAAGTCAAAAAGACTGAGTTGGTAGAATCTTCCTATGCCAATTCTATTCAAAGGGCAAACTGCAACCATATAACTTTTACAAGAAAAATATTTAATTGGTCAAATGGGTAATTGAAAGGGACTCTGAAAAAGACTTCCGAGTATATATTTTGCAAGTATATATACTCGTTCTTTTTCAGAGATTAGGATTTATTAGATCGCAGTAAAGATGTCAAAATCCAACAAAGTTTCATTTGGATTGGGGGAGTTTGCATTCTCTACCAGTTAGTGCACTCCTGCTTCCATAACAACATTAATAAGTATGTAAATTATTAGTTAATATTTATAACAATAAGCACGCTCCCACACCTTTCCCTGCAGAATCTCTCCCTGATCTGCACATAGGCATTAGCCACCTCTAAGCTTTCAGCTAACAAGAACCTGTCAAATGCAGAGTCTCTTAAATCCCTGATGAATAAACCTGCACCCGAGGAGTCACTGCACTGTCAAAGGAAGAGATTATTTTGGCTCTTCTAAAACTCAAGGAACTGCCTGCAGCCTCTACCAGTTCTGTCCCTAGCCTAGGTTCCTTTAGAGCTCCTAACACTACCAAGACCTTTCCGGAGCACACACAATCTGCATTCTTCCTTTATTCCAGACAAGCTTTTTCTACTTTCCAAGTGTCTATCAACCTTAAGAAATATGTTAAATGTGGTCTACCGCCTGTGTGGATCGGGCAGCATCCTATGTTAAAGTATCTACCATCCCTGTGGAGAATGGACCTATCTTTAGGAATCCCACCAGCAAGCAGCTGTAGGCTCTTTCTGAAACTGTACTTTTTGGCATACCCTGCAATCTGTGACTTTGATCTGTCAAACTCAGGTAGGAGATCGTCTGCCTCATCTCCCATGGAAGTGAAAATGAGAATCTTTTGCCTAAAGTGCTGGTTTGAGGAATCCACATGTTTCTGGGGGGAATTACTCCAACTTGTTTAGTTCCAAAGCCAAACAGGGAGCAAAAAAGTGCTCTGTGAAGGAAACATGCCTGCATGCCCCCTTATTTTCCAGTGCATCTGAGATTCCTTCACTTTGCCATGGGTCCTCTGCAGTTCCAGTTTTCAGCCAACAATCATCTGCAACTCAGGTTTTCACCAATATCGTGTCCTTGTGCTAGTCTTAATGGAATCTCTTGGTATTCACATTGTGAGATATCTGGACAACTTCTGCTGAGAAAACAGTCTGGTGGACAATGTCTCCCTGAATGTCTAGATCTTACAAAGGGTCAGCTGGGCCTGAACCTTTAGAAATCAGCACTGAAACCAACTTGAGCTGTGTGTAGGATTTGACACACATATTCCAAGTCAAAAAGTTTCTCTTCTCCAGAAGTTTTTCTTCTGAGAAGAGAAACTTTTGCTTCTGCTCCCAGACTCCAGTTATTCAGCCCAGGAGCTGCCCAACTCTTCGCTTCTGCATGATAGTATTGGGGTTGATGGTAACCTACTTCAAGGCAATCCTATTTGCCCAGTTCAACCCCAGACCCCTACAAAACAATACTCTGTCATTGTGGGACAGGTTCAATCCCTGGACAGACCATGAGTCGGGCACCAAAGACCAGGTCATCCCTTGCTTTGTGGCTCAGGAATACCACTCTGGAGTTGAGAGCAGTCTTTTCTTTTGGTCTTCCGAAGACCCTCACGATGGATGCCAGTGTGGGCTGGGGAGGTGTCCTAGCTACCCTATCAGTGCAGGAAACTTGAACCATGGAGGAATCTCATTTCTCAAACATTCTGGAACTTCAGACAATTTAGTTGTCAGTGCAATGGCTCATCCAAATCAGACTTGGAAAATGCTATGAAAGAAGCCAACCAACTGCAAATAACCAAAAGTCCTACCACAACAAGAGGCAGAGTGGATCCTGTTCTGGGCAGAAATTTCTATGCAACATTCCACCCTTATCTGTAATTTACATCCCAGACATGGACAACTGGCAGGCAGACTTCTTTAAAAAAAAAACTGCCTTTTGAACAAATCCGTAAAATCCCGCTCTCCATTACCAGAAGGTTGCATTTCTTATTGCCATCACCACTGCAAGGTACATTTCTCAACAGCAGCTTTATCAGATAAAGAAACCCTAGCAGGTCTTTCACAAGGACCAGGTACTGATGAGGCCTTTCACCACAAACAGGACATCACTTTCCACTGTTCAGTCTTGCTCCAGTTCATCTGATGGAAATCCATTTCCTGGATGTAGTTCATGCTGTGTATCTCACAGGCATTGCTTTCTTTAGAAAGACTGACTTTCTCTGTCATTCCTAATGGTTCTCATAAGGGCTTCAGTGGGTCAGACAGACCATTTGTACCCACTGTAAATTCCCTTTCTTGGAGTCAGCCAAGAGAGACAGGTCTATGATCATGCTGTTCGTACTGCTTCACCACTAAACGGAGGGAAGCTAAGAGGGGTTATCCTGGGCTGGACCACATTTTTTTGTTAACTCTTCCATTAGAACCCAACACTAGAAGACTTTTTTGGTGAGTATAAAATCATATTTAAATCGGTCACGATTAGCAAGGCTGAGATGGCATTGTTAGAATTACCAAGCCTACTGGTCCTGAGTGAAATGAACATTGATAACCCTACAAATCAATGCAAACAAAAGAATCAGCATTCAAAACAATATTCCATGATGTCACGTCATGTAAAATATCTTTACCTAATTGCTGATGTTGCAAATACTTGTCCATTTGACCCCACACAAAGGACTATAACAGAGGCTACAACAACTATTAAATCTGAAAAAAAAAAAAAAACAGCTTATTAACACCGTACTGATAACATAATTATAACCAATAACTGTGGAAGTAGATACTTTGAATAGATTTACAGTGTCACAATGTTGAGGTGCAAGTCCAAAAAATGATTGTTATATTCAACGGTTTTAAAAAAGGGCTGCAACAATAACTAATTTGCATTAAATGACAGTGGATCACAAAATGTAAAAAAAGTCAAAATATTAAGGAAAAATCTATATTATATCTTCTATTTAAGGATTAACTCCAGGCCATTTAAATCCACAGTGGAATTACATACATGAAAGCTATTTGACCTACCAAATGGATTTAAATTTGGTATAGCCAAGCCCTACAAGACAAAAGCAGTGAGGCTGCTTGACCTGACATTTCTCAATTTGGTCAACTCCCTGCCCCAAATTAAGATTGGACAGTAAAGGAGCAACAACAGAATGATGAGGATGGCATGTCTTCACATCAAGATGTGCCCTCCTTCTCCGAGTCTGCTGCTCCCAGTCTGCTTGTACAGGAGGCCAAGATTTAACATGTTTTAATGAAAATAAAAAATAAATAAAATTAAAAAAGGATAAGTTCACCTTTGGACAAAAATAATAAATGCACATTCTTTTACCTGCAAAAAAATGCACAGTTATTATTTTTGCCCTAAAGGAGTCTGGAAAACATTGCCCCAGCGATCAGTAGATCGCTGATGCCATGCAGGCCTCCTGACCTCTCAGTATAACTGCTTGCCATACAGGATGTACGGTCAAGTAGATATTCTGACAGGAAGCTTCAATGAACTACCACGCCGCCGTGGTAGTTCATTGAAAACTACAAGCCAAACAGCCGCAAAGGCTGCCGAGACGTGTAGGCACTCAGTCACAGAACTCTATGAATGAATGACACGGCTGTATGGGCGGAGCCCCGCACGGCCATGCTGTTTTCAAATCTGACAGGTAGTACAGGGAGACTCCCCATACTACCTGTTGGGGGGGGGGGGGGGTGGCAGGCGCGGCTGTGGCTATATATATATATGTTCCACCCTAAAAATGGGTGGAACATGTAACATGTTACAAAAGGTGAACTTCTCCTTTAAATAGTGTTTTCATATGTTAGAAGTTCAGCCTTAAAGAACAACTCTGTGATGCATTGCTTTAATAGCATAATCCCAAAGCAGTTTAAAAAATGTTTTTTGCATATGGGGTTCCCTACAAGAACCCAACAGTGCTGCAGGGTTAAAGTTTGTTACCTTTTTTATAGATTTATCTGCTGCAGGTTCTGCCCCTGCTTTTAAGTTTATATAGAAGCTGTTAAAGTACAGGCAGTATAATAGTTGATAAGCCAATTATCAAAAGAGCCACTTCCAGCATACATTTTAAAGACAAATTTAGTAGTACTTACCTATAACAGAAATAGGTTTTCTAGCAAAGCGAAACCTTCCCCAAATTCCAACATATTTGCTCCGGCATCCTGCAGACCACAATCGTATAACATATTCTGTTCCAAAAAATACTACCAGAACTATTTCCTGTAAAAAAAATAAAATAAATAAAAATACACACACACACACACACAAATGTTGTTATAATGTAGTTGCAAATTTTTGTTAGATGATATTTGTGCTTGCATTTGTGTACACAAACACAATATTCTTTTATTGTTTTTGCATTTCTTTTGATTTCGTGTTTTAAGCTTTTATTTAATTACTCTCACAAGAGGGCTGACCAGCCCCTATTTGATGCAGGACCTGTCAGGGAAAATGTAATCTATTAAACTTACCATACAGGTTTCAATTTGTTCATACAGTTAATACAATCAACTTTAGGTTTACCGAAACAAAGTGATGTGAACAAAAAAAGGGTCAACTGAAAAGGAAAAATACAAAAAAGAGGGACAGAGCCTCCAACTGAGGGACATTTGGGTGCTATTAAAATTTTTATGCAAATATGTGAAATGAGTTACAAAAAAAAAATGTGTTTCAAGGTGAATACATAGCTGCTAGCACACCAATCAATATAAACAGGCCTAAAAAAAAAAAATTGTGACCAGAAGTGTAGCACTTAATAGTCAGAGCAAACATCAATCACCACATGTGGATAAACAAGTAAAAAAAAAAAAAATTGATACAACAGACCACCATCCCAGGTGTAGTGAATAATTCGAAACATATATCTATCTTTCTTATACAAAAGTGCAAATCGTCCACTTCATGGAAACCACACATCATGCCTTCACTGCATGCTCTGTAAAACATGCTTACCAGAATATTTTGACGTTTTCACTCAGAGAAGTCAAAATGCACTTGTGTGTAAGAGATCCTGCATAGTGCAGTGTAATCGTCCCCCTGTGTGGATCTCTGATAGTCAAACTTCTGGGCTCCACCATATCCAAGAACAAAAAAACAAACAAAAAAACAGGGAGGCTACATAGTGTAAAACCGTAAAAACTTGGTATTTTGTTAAAATAAATCGTAATAGTCACAAGACTAAAAACAATAGTGCGTATAATACTGCAAAGCTGGTCTCGAGACACAGACTGGCAAATTCCAGGTTTCACAATGCGTGATGTTGTCATGAACTTTGGCTCCACCCCACATGATGTCTTCCAGGCTCCCCGAAGGAATCATATGTCACGAAACGTGTAGGCCGGAGCAAACATGGGGGTTGATGTTGCTCTATTAAGCGCTGCACTTTTGGTCACAAATGTGCAAAAAAAAAAAAAAAAGTCTCATAACTAGTAAGCCTACCATTGCATGTTACAATTGGTTAGATATATTATTTATCTAGAACCAGTGTAAACTTATGATGTGTGCATTTATTATAAAAGTGGAACTCCAAGCAACTACTCTTGCTTTGTACAGAGGGGGGGATGATTAGGTTCTATGACATGTTTTTACTGTTCTCTAGGGTCCCATTAGGGAATGTACACATCAATTCACGTTTCAGTGACAGAGCTGGGTTAAAAAGTGAAAAGAAACCTACACAAGACTTCAGCAGTAGCCATATGAAGGTAACAGTCTTCCCATGTATTAAAAAAAAAAAAAAAAAAAAAAAAAAAAACCACATTTTCTTCTGTGGTTTCCCTATTAGAGATGTTGCCCTTAATTTCCTGTCCCAGTGACAACGCTCAGGAGAAAGTTTCTCAGTGGTGACAGAAAACAGCAATAAAATAGAGGGTCAATCCTTTTACCACTAACTAGTTTGCCTATAGCTTCACTTTACATCAGTTTATTAGAATTAGAAAAAAATATTTCATATTTACATACCATCCAAAATAAGGTCTCTGTGGCCAAATTGGAATACTGCTGTATTGTAGAAAGCACACTGAAAATAAGGCATATCAGGACTATAAGGAATCTGTGAAAAGAAGAGGCATACGCCAGTGTTACAGTCACATTTAGAACTAGGAAATCATTAACTTAAAATCATAATATATACTATAAAAAAATTATATATATAGACAGCAGGTAAAATAAGTATTGAACACGTTACAATTTTTCTAGGTAAATATATTTCTAAAGGTGCTAGTGACATGAAATTTTCACCACATGTTGGTAAAAACCCATGCAATCCATGTATACAAAGAAACCAAAACAAATAAATTCAGAAATTAAGTTATGTGTAATAAAATAAAATGACAGGGAAAAAAAAAAAAAATACTGAATACATGAAATCTATCAGTAATTTGAAAGCAATCCTGCCCCTTGCCAGTGCAAATTAATATCAACTGGTCCAGTCTCAACTAATGGCCTACAAAAAGGTGTCACACAAACATCTCATGATGGGTAAAAGCAAAGAGCTCTCTCAAGACCTTTGCAATCTTATTGTTGCAAAACAATCTCATGGCATTGGTTACAGAACAATTTCTAAACTTTTGAATGTTCCAGCGCGCACTGTTGGGGCCATAATCCGGCTGGAAAGGGCTACGGGGCAATTGCCAAGCAGCTTGGTGAAAATAGATCAACTGTTGGAGCAATTGTTAGAAAATGGAAGAGGCTAAAGACAACGGTCAGTCTCCCTCGGACTGGGGCTCCATGCAAAATCTCACCTTGTGGGGTATCACTGATGATAAGAAAGGTGAGGAATCAGCCCAGAACTACAAGGGAGGAGCTGGTCAATGACATGAAGAGAGCTGGGACCACAGTTTCAAAGGTCACTGTTGGTAGAACACTACGCTGTCATGGTTTCAAATCATGCCTTGCACGGAAGGTTCCCCTGCTCAAGTCATCACATGTCCAGGCCCGTCTGAAGTTTGCCAATGACCATTTGGATGATCCAGAGGAGGCATGGGAGAAAGTCATGTGGTCAGATGAGACCAAAGTAGAATGTTTTGGTCTAAGCTTCACGCGTCGTGTAGGGGGAAAAAGAAGGATGAGTTGCATCCCAAGAACACCATCCCTACTGTGAAGCATGGGGGTGGTAACATCATGCTTTGGGGATGCTTTTCTGCAAAGGGGACAGGACGACTGCACTGTATTAAGGAGAGAATGAATGGGGCCATTTATTGTGAGATTTTGAGCAACAACCTCCTTCCCTCAGTCAGAGCATTGAAGATGGGTCGTGGCTGGGTCTTCCAACAGGACAACGACCCAAACCACACAGCCAGGATAACCAAGGAGTGGCTCCGTAAGAAGCATATCAAGGTTCTGGAGTGGCCTAGCCAGTCTGCAGACGTAAATCCAATAGAACATCTTTGGAGGGAGCCAAAACTTCGTGTTGCTCAGCGACAGTCCTGAAACCTGACAGATCTAGAGGAGATCTATGTGGAGGAGTGGGCCAAAATCCCTGTTGCAATGTGTGCAAACCTGGTCAAGAACTACAGGAAACGTTTGACCTCTGTAATTGCAAACAAAGGCTTCTGTAACAAATATTAACACTGATTTTCTCAAATACTTACGTTCAGCAGTGCAAGATAAATAAATTCTTTAAAAATCATACAATGTGATTTCCTGAATTATTTTTAAAAATTCTGTCTCTCAGAGTGGGAATGCACCTACAATATGGAATTTCAGACCCCTCCATGATTTCTAAGTGGGAGAACTTGCATAATTGCAGGGTGTTCAAATACTTCTGTTCTTCACTATATATATATATATATATATATATATATATATATATATATATATATATATATATATATATATATATATATATTATTACACATACATACATACACACACATATATATATATATATATATATATACGCATATATATACACACACAAACAGTTGTGTTCAAAATATTAGCAGTCAGACATCACTAACCTGATCAATCACTGTTTTTGGTAGAAATTATATTTCTACATGGCAAATAAATTACCAGCAGGTGTAGTAGAGTAATAGAAATCCAACAGACCCAACAGTCATGACATGCATGTTGCTGATTCTGTGTAATTGAATCACTAATTGAAAGGGGCATGTTCAAAATAATGGCAGTGTGGAGTTCTATTAGTGAGGTCATTCATTCTTTGAAAAACATGTGGCAATTATTGCCCTTATTTAAGGAAGAAAGGCAGCAAATGTTGTACATGCTGGTTACAGTGCATTTCTCTCTGAAATTCTGAGGAAAATGGGTCGTTCCAGACATTGTTCAGAAGAACAGCGTACCTTGATTATATGTTTTCCCCTCTCCAATCAACTTTTTAAAGAAGTGCAGAAAATGATAGGCTGCTCAGCTAAAATGATCGCAAATGCTTTAAAATGGCAACCAAAACCTGAAAGACGTGGAAGAAAGCGAAAAACTACCATTCGAATGGATAGAAGAATAGCCAAAATGGCAAGGACTCAGCCAACAATCAGCTCCAGGAAGATCAAAGAAGGTCTAAAAAGTTACCTGTGAGTACTGTTACAATTAGAAGACGCCTATGTGAAGCCAAGCTATCTGCAAGAAGCCCCCACGAAGTTCCACTGTTGAAAAAAAAGACGTGCTGAAGAGGTTACATTTTGCCAAAGAGCACATTGACTGGCCTAAAGAGAAATGGCGCAACATTTTGTGGACTGATGAAAGTAAGATTGTTCTTTTTGGGTCTAGTGGCCGGAGACAGTTTGTCAGACGACCCCCAAACACTGAATTCAAGCCACAGTACGCTGTGAAGACAGTGAAGCATGTTTGCGCAAGCATCATGATATGGGGATGTTTCTCATACTACGGTGTTGGGCCTATTTATCTCATACCAGGGATCATGAATCAGTTTGAATACATCAGAATACTTGAAGAGGTCATGCTGCCTTATGCTGAAGAGGATATGCCCTTGAAATGGGTGTTCCAACAAGACAACGACCCCAAACACACCAGTAAACGTGCAACATCTTGGTTCCAGACCAACAAGATTGACGTTATGGAGTGGCCAGCCCCATCCCCGGATCTTAATCCAATAGAAAACTTGTGGGGTGACATCAAAAATGCAGTTTCTGAGGCAAAGCCAAGAAATAAAGAAGAACTGTGGAATGTAGTTCAATCATCCTGGGCTGGAATACCTGTTCACAGGTGCCAGAAGGTGGTTGACTCCATGCAACACAGATGTAGAG